GAAATCCCTCGACGTCCTCCTCAAGCCCCTCACAGACGATCTCGTGGTCGAGTGCTACAACAAGAGCCGTGGACGCCGCATGTTCTTCTTTGATTACTACCGCACGTTGGCCCCCGACGCATCGACGGACTTTGCTATCGCGTGGCCAGACGTCCCCGTAGACGTCCTGTCGAGCCTCGAGCAGCTTTGCCGAGACCCGCGCAACACGGTATGCTCCCCATCTCGCTCGATCGTCCATGGCATGCGAGGGAGGATGCATCGTGTAGGTATATGTCGTAAGTTGATGCAACTGCGAACTCCTCAGCGACAAATTTGGATCTGTGCCGGGCCTGGGCCTCGTGGGCGAGCATGGGTACTTTATTCGGTGGCCCATGCTCGGCCAAGCTGCTCGGATCAATAAGTACGTGACATGTGGTGGAATGGCGGCGGTTTTGTTGTGGGATGGCATGTCCCGGCAACGGGAGTCCGGCGCAGTGACCTTCCTCCCTGTGAACTTGAATAGCGGTGGCTGTAAGGCGATACTGCGGACATGAGTATGGTTCACAAGTCTCATCGGTGCTTGAAGCGTGCGCTGCAATGTGGTTGCTAACGTTCACGGGTTGAAAAGGATGCCAGGGCTGACCCGACTGTGTTGGCCTTGTCTAGACCGTGGGAATTATACGGCGACGTGTTTCACGTGAATGCGTCGTGCGGCAAGTGGCGCGAAAAGGCGGAAGCCATCATGACCGTCTACGTGGATCGAACGAACGGCGCGGCGCTCGAAATGCGACGCAGTTCCATCTTGTTTCGTTATGCGGGCGCCGACTACGGCTTTGGGGTCATGCAAGCGCGGGACCTCTTCCAGCAACTCACGACCGCGTTTCAAGTAAACGAACGCGTTTGCTTGTCGCATCATGACCATCATCTCACGGACACTGGCAGGGGTGGCCGCTGAGCGTGATCCAAGGCAAAGATTACATCGAAGTGCGGCCGGAAGGGCTTGGGAAGGGCCAAATCGTCAAGCAGATCCTCAGGAAAGTTCACGCCGACTCGGGCAAGGATGTCGCCGAAAGGTCCCCACGAGGCACCACGTCGTCAATTGGACCGATTGATTTCGTGTGGACGATGGGCGACGACGTTGCCGACGAACTCATGTTCGATGCGGCGCGGGTCTGCGGCCATGACCTGAACATTCCGTGCGGTAAGGTGCCACCGTAGCCCTTGGTTGTCGTAGCAATACAACCTGCAGCTCATTTCCGAGCGCTGAGTGCCGTGTTGGCGGGTGGTAGCCCTCATGAATGCATGAGCTAGTGTTGACGTGCACAGTCGGCCACAAATCGTCGCAAGCGCAGTATTTCGTGACAGATCACCATCAAGTCGTGGCTCTCCTGGCTGCTGTTCGCGTCGCTCTGACCAAGGTGGGCGATTTCACCATGTTCCACCTTGTTGAGATGTAAGTAGACGTCGCGGTACCATTCGGTGGGCGACATGCAGTCGATTCTGGCCAAGCACCTGCACCACCACGCGCCACAACTGACGTACAATTCGTCGGCATTGCTGCCCATGGACCAAGGATCGGAGCTCTCGCGCAAACCGTCGTCCAAAGCGCTGAGGCATCCACGGGGCCTGTACGTGTTGAAGTCGTTCGTTCATGGCGCTTGCCCCCGTTCAACTGGTCACTCTGTGCATGTAGCGCGCCCGTCCTCGAAGAAGACCAGAGCTCGCGCAGCTTGGACATCCCAGTTCTGCCCGCAGCCTCTACAACTCTGGACGACCATTCGTCAACTCGTCGCAACTCCTTGGCGTGGATGGCCCTAGCTGCCGTGGTGGTTGCGCTCTCTGGTCGAATGCCGTCTCCAACGTTGTGGAGAGCATTCCTGGTCGAGTGGTTGACCCGACGTGCTTCCACGTTTCAGTGGACCGTCGCCGCCGTCGTCTCTACTGGCGGGTACCTGCTGTACAAGCGGCGGCGCTGCATTCGAGACGCTTGGAAGGGCCAGACCTGATCAACTGCAGGAGGTACCCCTCCTTTATCTGCCTTCTCTGTGTGATGCAAAGTCCACCGCCAAGGAGAGAGAAGCACTATCACGACACTCGAATTCAAATTAAAACGTGACCGACCCCCGTTCGGCTTCAAGCGCTCGGTAGTCTTGTGGAGGATCCACGGTAAGAATTCGAAGCGGAGGATCGACGAGACCGCTAGGCAGCCGCGACCGCACAAACGACTCGTTGTTGGCAGCGCGAGCACCGCCGTGCGGAGACCCAGGCATGGGCCGCTGCTGGTGGAACGTACTGTTCTGCTTGGTGCGGTAGTCCATGTTCTGGTGGCCCGTTGGGGTGAACGGATAGGCGACAGAAGGTTGGACAGCAAATGCGGGTTCGTTGGTGATTTGCTTCGTGCGCTGCTCAACGTGCAGCACATGTGCATCAAGGTCGTCGTCGTCGTCGTGGTCGGTGCGTCGCGACTTGCGCACGAGCACGATGACGAGGATGCCCAGCGCAATGAGCGCGACACCGCCTCCGATGAAGTACGGCGCGTTCCCCATTGTAGACGTGTCCTCTTTTTGCCCGAGAGGAGTCGTGTTGTTTGTAGTCGCGTTCGAATCCGAGGGGGCTGTGGATGTTGGAGGCAGCGTTGAGACGAACAACGTGGTTGTGGGACCTGGGGTCGACGTAGTGGTTGGCGCGGTCGTCGTCGTGGGAGCCTGACCTAGTAGGGTCCACTGTCATTCGACACGAGGCGACCAGTCATGATCGTACCGCAGTCGACGGAGTTGTCACCAAAAGGACACTTGCCGCTCGTGGGGGATGTGTATGAATAGCAATCCACTCGACTTGACGAGACTTCAACAAAGCAAGGCGCTTGGAGGAGAGCCCGTTCGTTGGTCAACGGTGTGATGCCGCCGCCAAGGCAGTCCTTGGTGCACACGTCAAATCTGTTTGCAGCAGACGCCATAGTACATGCTACAGATACGAGATAAGTCCAACGCCAGCAAGTGCATGCGGCATACGTACCAAAGACGGCCAGGACGACGCAGGAACTCTTCATGTGCAGCATCTTCCTCGACAGAGGTACACGGAGCCGATCTGCCGCGTGCGCAACGTTTTGCGGAATGGATGCGAGAGTGTCACATCCGGTGTTACTGAGAGCGACGCGACATGCTGCCCACGACCAGACTTCAATGATCTCCCGCACCTATTTCCATTCAATTAAACAGCATCTGAGCTTTATATTTTCGTCGTGTCGAAATACCGGCTACTACATATCGATTCAACTATGATAGATAATGTATATCGCGAAGTCCATCCCACCTTCTTGTACACGATGGGATATTGACTCACTCCAATAAACTTGAAGTTTGTATACTCGATCAGGAGCCAATCCGAATGCCGCCAGGTGGTGGCGCATCACGTTATTGGTCCAGTCGCCCGACTTTTTCATCAAGTTGAAAAATGCTCAAATTGTTCGAAATACAATTATATTTCAATTCAAATTCCAAGAAATACGGTCCATATTTATTTAAAATGCATTGGTTTCTACAAAATATTTATGAATTGACCCGATGGAGGCCCGTCCTCATTCATGTAGAGGTGAGATCGACCCCAGGCACCCAGTGTGGTATATGTGTTCGGCTCGAAAGCCGGAACTCGCTCTTCCCTCGCCCGTGCGAACTCGCGCCGCTGGATGTGATAGCCAACACGACGGCGTTTAGGGAGCTGCCGTTCGTGGCCAGCCTTCATCGCCTCAACGCGCGCCAGCAACATGGCATTCTCGATTCCCCATCTTGCCGCTCCCAGAACGTGCTTGGATTATTCGACGATCTGTGATTGGCTGGAATTAAATTGGCTCTACCACAATCCAACGACGGCCCGTCCGAGCGTTCAAGCAGCGACCATAGAAACACACGTTGCGCTGCTCCGTGTAGCGAGCGTACTGAGTGTTCCTGAGTTCCCTCATTATGCTGGTGGCGCTGTCTTCGTGGCAGGCAGCACCCTGTGGGCCGCGCCGACGGCTTCCGCCACCGACGTATACCCATCCGCCTTGATCAGGGCTGTTAATTCGTGCTTGATACGGGCCTAGGGGCGGACATCAGCACCCCCTCCGTTCGAATTGGAGGGCCAACTGAGCTCTACGCACCACTGCCAAAGGACCGTCAAACACCAAGCTCGAGTACAGCTGCACCAAACTCGCGCCGGCCTTGATCTTGTCGTATGCGTCATGCCCCGTTGCGACACCGCCGACTCCAATGAGGGGGATCTTCCCTTGCGTGAGCTTGTACATGGAAGAGAGCACCGCCGTAGACAGTTCCTTGACGGGCGCACCGCTCAAACCCCCCGTTTCGGCCGCATGTGGACTGCCGACAATCGTATTCGAATCCGTGAGGCACCGTGGTTGCAACATTGTATATACCTCGTGAGAGAAGGAGGACGTGAAATGGTCGTGTTGGACACAATCAAGCCGTCGACTTTGAGCGCCACCACGACGTCCGCAATGTCTTGCATGTCCTCCGGCGTCAAGTCCGGCGCAATCTTCACCAGCAGTGGCACGCGCTTCCAGAGCTTGTTGCGTGCGTCGAGGACGGCCGACACAAGCGCATGCAGTTCTTTCTTTCCCTGTTCACCGCATCAATGCAACAATCTACTTGTAGCGGCTGTGGTGGCCCTGGAACAAATGGTACCTGGAGCGAGCGCAGCCCTGGGGTGTTGGGGGATGAAATGTTGATGACGAGGTAGTCGCCAAACGGCCCGAGGCTCTCAACGCCGCGAACGTAGTCGTCCTATACGAGAAAATGGTCGTCGCCTCTAAAACGAACGCTCTTTCGTACAATCGGGCTGTCGGACGTTTTGTTTTTCCCCAAGTTCACTCCCAACGGACCCGTGCGGTGGTGGAGCTTCGTCGACGACGACAACGTCCAGTACTTGTACTTCTCGAGGCGCTCGCGGACCTTGGGGTGGCCCTCGCTGTTGAATCCGTAGCGATTGATCACACCTCGGTCTTCGAGCAGCCGGAAGACGCGGGGCTTGGGGTTTCCCTCTTGCGGCAGCGGGGTAACGCTTCCGATTTCGACAAACCCAAAGCCCATGTCGAGAAGTCCCTGCATTGCGTCGGCGTGTTTGTCGAAGCCGGCTGCGATACCAATGGGGTTATCGAACGACATACCGAGCACCGACATACGTAGCGATGTGTCGTCCGGAAGAGTGTCCTGGCAAGAAACTGGTCAGCAACGAGGGAGTACGGCTGAAGCGTTGCCACCTTGGGAGTCCATCCATACTTTGCTGCTTGAACGGCAAGCACATGCGACGTCTCGGGGTCCAACAACCGAAGCAGCGGCATCAGCACCGGATCCATAAGCTTGGTCAAGAACGACTGGCGAAACGTGTACAACGCCAACACTCCAGCCCCCAAGATAAGTGGAGCCGCGGATGACGAAGAACTTGATGGAATCGAACTCATCAAGCGGCGGCTACCCCCAGCCGACGGGCATCTCGCCGAACGGCGCAAAACTCCCCCCATGCACCGACGATACATGGCTGCGATATCTTCAACTCGATCTTGACTGGAGTGGACCTTCCGGATAAAGTTATATCCGAATTACCAAATGGGGGCCGTGAACCAGAACCAGGCCGCAGAGACATGTCGATGGTCGCTGCGAAGGAGTGCTGCGCTGCTGTGCATGGTCAAAGTGGGAGAGCTGTACGCCGACGCAATTGTTTCCAGGCTCGATCACTTTTCGCGGTCAGGGCATTGGCCGCATTCAACTGACATGGGTGTACTGACGTGCTTGCCTTGATCTTCCGGATTGCTTGAGTCCCAAAGCCGCAAGACCATGCCGCGTCTTGCTGACTCTATATTGTTTTGGTCTCGACGCTCTCCATTCTTATAACCTTCCATGTGCGCCGCCAAAGGAAACGAGGTCAACCGCTAACGCTTTGCTGTTGCGACGACACTAGCACGTTACCGCAACATTGCAAGTCGCATCGAACCAACCAAGCACAGGGCCATCATTGTCACCGTCCACTTGTGTCAGACCAGAGGCCAACGTCTAGTTACAACAATTGTTGCTGTTGTGTCCACGCTTTCAAAGCAGAGTGCACCGATTGTGTTGTGGACTGCCTGCAATCTCGGGAATACAAGTGGAGGAGGAAGCGTTTCCAGTTTGGGCGCAATGTGGCGGCTCTGAACACGGCGAAGAAGTCGGGGTTGGCGCGCGGTACATCACTTGACGTATCAGCCAACGATCACATTTGATTATATCTTCATGAAGGTGATTCGTGCTCTGTTGGTGGTCGAGTCCAGTTGGTCCTCCAATTCGACTCTAGCTCGTCCTATTGAGAACTCCACTTTCAGCCTCGTCCTCACACATCGATTGCCTCTAGGCCTCGTCCGCCCTTTCGGGTGCCGCTGACGCAGTGAACTTCCACGGAATTATCGCGAGAACCGTGTCTTTGGCGGATCGGATGACAAATTCGCCGCGTCCAAATCGGTGCTTCTAGCGCCATTGTTCAAAGGCCGCTATTCCAAGCAAGGGTTGGTATAATGGAGCACGTGCGACGCTTCGTATTCAACCGAGCGGCAGCCATCGACCTCGGCCACCATCAGCATCTCGATATTGGATGCATTGATCGTCGACAACGTCGCCACCTACAAAATGGCAAGAACGTTCTCTTGCACGAGTTCTCTGGTGGTGCACAGGTTGCCAACCAGTACACCGTGCTTCCACCTTGGTCTTTATGTTCATGGCGGCGTCGTGACTCCAATGGACCTTGGAGCGCCACGGCGAGACACAAACCTGGTCCACCACGTTCGACACATCAGGCGCGTATCCACCGACCGAGTGCGGCGACGTGACAAGCATGGTACGTCAAGTCATGACGTCGAGTTTGGTTTCCGTGCAACACTGGGGACACTAAACATGGACGTTCCTTGTGAAGCGAACGCCCATCGGGCACCTCCCCCAGCAAGAATACTTGAAACCAATGCTGGCCCAACGCATCAAGACGATCCCCATCGCCGGATACATACTCCACCATACCAACGCCGATGGGTGCTTGACGTCCCATGCCAATCAAGGGAATGTACATGGCCAATGTTCCTAGAACGTTCCGGGAGAAGTTGTTCAAAATATCTCACCGACTGTACTCTCCGACCAACGCCGTTCGGTAAGGCATTGGTGGGGAAGTAGAATCGGTTACACATTTCACTTGTATGTATGGAATTTGCCAAAGAAACGGAACGTCCTGACTGAAGCAACATTCAAGTAGTGTAGCTTATCTTACTACCGTGAAATCTTTTGGACCGGCAAACCCAATACGTTACGCAGGATTCTCCTCATGAACAACCACCACGTTCGACTTTTTCGCGAAAGATGGATACTGCAACCTTGCTGCGTGTCAGTCACATTAGTTCGACGATCCCACCGTGATCTCGAACGTGGGCGAATATTACAGGTGAGGAATTCTTTCAGCGAAACGACAATTCGTCTCGACCATCGCCAGACGGCGACACGATCCCAACCACACGAAGCGAGTTCGACGGTTCGAGCTCAGCACGACGGCTTGGCGATGTGCTGTGGGTGCACGCCGGCGGACCTGCAGACTCTGCCACACAAGAGGGGCTGTCGCAATCCATGGAAGGTATCCGTGGAAGTACTCCCAATCAGAGCAGTTACCATGACTGGAGCTTTACGTTGGAGGAATCGCCGCCTATGAATGATTCAAGTGAACGACGGCGCGTCGTTAGCTTCGCCCACGGCAACACCACGTGCACACATGCAAACGACGCGGCAGCATTGCCTTGTTCATGACTCTAGTTGTTATCGAGTTTGCCTCGGGTTGTCAAACCCATAGATCTTGATGGGGGTTTTCCCCCCCGCGGCGGCATACGCGTTCGAGACAGCGATGACAAAATCTTTGGGACCATTCACGATCACTTCGACGTCGTCGAGCGAGTTTGGGGCCATCTCGAGGAACGTTTCCTCCGTCACCCGGGCCGCGTAGTGTATGGTGCACTGATCCCACGCGTGCAGGTCCCCATACCGACCGCCCTGTGGCGCATGAAAGAACGCAATGTCTTCCATGGTTGGCGCGCACTGAAGGGCGACGACACGTCCACGGTACACGTCTTTGACGCTATACAGCCCTTGCATCATGGCGACAAAAGGGGCGGCGCCGACGCCGTAACTGATGAGGAGCACGTCGTGGGGGAGTCCCGTCTCGGGCGTGTCGATCTCAAAGTTTACGTTCGAAGCGACCCAAAAGAGCTTGAGCTTGGAGCACATGGCCTGGCGGCAGAGCCAGTCGGACGCAGCCATGTCCACGCAAATGTCGAGTGTCGACGTCGGTCGGTCGTGGAACGACGCGATCGGAAAGCACACTTTGGTGTTGCCCGAGCCGAGGAGAATGCCGTCGCCGGGCTGAAACCGCAGCGGAAAGTCAAATTCCAATGTGAGTCGGCGGGACTTGGGGGCGATCGCGTCGACGTTGGTGATCGCGCACGGAATCGAGTCCTGCACGGGGTCGGCTTGGTAGTGCACGACGACGGGCAGGACGAGGTAGAAGAGGAGGCAGTACGCGGTCAAGTACGCTTCTTTCACGTCGCGCGACCACGACGTGCCACTGATCACTTCGAGGGTCTTGACGAGGGTGATCCCCATCGTTACGTAGTATTCGCGCTTGACTCCAAACTTGAGGTGGCCCGTCGCCAGCGCCTGCATGCGCTCGACGATGTTGCTGGCCGACATGACCCCCGTCATGACCTTGATGATCGATGCCAGCGACTTGCCCTGCATCGTCAGGCTCGATCGAAAGATCGCGCGAAGGGACGGATCCGCGTTGAACAGGAGTGAGTAGAACGTGCGATGGAAAAACTTGTCAGGCGATCCGTGCTTCTCGGCGTCGAAGGCAGACGTGCCGATGCAGATCGCGGCCCAGTTGGCCTTGATGAGCTCGACGTGCCGCGGTGTGAGAACGGGCAGCTTGACATCAAGCGGCATGTACGGCGCGTACTTTTGCGCAAACCCCGGCTTGATCCCGACGCTACCATCGGCGGTGGCAAAGATAATCTTGGAATGCTTGGATGAGAGGTTGCCGCCCATGGTGCACAATGCAGAATGCGTCGATTTTCCAGTCGTGGTGCCGTGAAATTGTGGTCAGATCAGGGTGTGCCGAAGGCGGGTCGGATCGGTGGACGACGACGGGGCTGGCTCGCTGGCAGGAGATGCCCCGTCGTTGTCGGATCGCGCCTGGGAACGTTCGACAAACGTGGCGCGCGCCCTTGTTGAATCTGCAAAATATTCGAACCGTTGGCATGCATGAGCAGAGAAATGCAAAGCCACCACACCAAGCCACGTCACCGTCAACTCGGACGTTGCTGGCGCCACGGCAGCCGGTGGAAGCCTCGTCGTCGGTGGCTGTATGTGTGTGGCTGGAACAATGGGCTGGTTCTGCGCTGCCAAGTAGAAGGGTTTGTTGGGGTGCGATCTTTTTTCACCGCTGGGTCCGTGCGGTACACTCCTCCACGAAGCTATCGACTGCTGGCATGTCGAACGGTTGGAACACGGCGTCCGTTCTCCGGGGCCTTCCACCGCCCCCCGCCTCACCCGACAGCATGGCATCGGACGCATCGCTGCGGTGGCGCCATAGCAGTCGCGTCGTGCTCGCGATGGATCCCTGTGGTCGCATAACATCATGTGTGTGGCCATGACTCGCCCAGCATTCGACGCGCGCTGTTCCAGCCACGAATCCTGTTTGTGACGTGATGACGTCCAAAGCGACCCTCTCGATGACGTGCTCGGGGACGGCGGGCGATGGCTCGGCGATTCACGACGTGTCCTCGGCTTCATCCTTCCATTCGGACGCGACGGGTGGTGTGGACTGGCTCATGTTGGTTGACTATTGACGATGTCTAACTCGCTCGGATTTTGATCCCGAGCTCCTGGCGACGCCGCGGTGGGTCCATTTTGAGCGGCGCGGGCGCGTGCTCCAAGCCCAAACACAGAGTCTTGCCGAACCGCAGCCCCAACTTGTCCAGCCATTCCGTCACGCGCATTGTGTCGTACTCTACCGCACAAGATGAGCCCACAGCAAAACGATGCGTTGCCGCAAGAATTACCAGGCTCGGTCCCAGTCGCCGCGCCGAGCTGGAACGCCTTGTGGTCACAAATCGCGGCGAGTTTCCAACCGAGAAATTCTTCGTCCGGGACGTGCATCCTATTTCAGTGCCAAGTCAGACGCAGGCAAAGTCACGTCATCCGAATGCAACGTTTGCGATCGGAATCGATCGCTCAACTCGCACGGTGGTCGTACCTTTGCTGCAGCCTCTGCCGCACGTGCCGCACCGTGTCCGCTTGAAACAGCTCGACGATGCACGGTGTACTGTGCGTATGGATCCATGTGGCCGCGTTCGAGTGGTAGTGCATGACTCCAACCACGCCCAGGCTCGGTCCTCGCTCGTCGTCGGTGGGCGTAGCGTCAACAAACAACGGGGCGCTCGGAATCAACAACACATTCGCGACCAGAGTCTTGGGCGAGATCAGTTTGAGAACCGTCGAGCGATCCCTGGTTTCAATGAGGTGCAGCGTGACAGATCGAGTGGGCGGTGGTGGTGGGGACTGCGACGACGCGGACAGGGACGTGGCCGCCGCGAGCTGTGTTTGCAGCATCGCAAGAGCGACGGCGACCGTGTCCGTTGGATCCAAGAGCAAATCCATCTCCAACACGCCGTGAAACGATGGCTCGTACGGTGACAAGTGCACCGACCACTTGACTTTTCGCTCGACCTCCACGATTGAAAGCGACGGCAGCACTTCGTAGTACAACGAGTACGCGTGGTGGTTGGTCGTAAAGTTGTCGATCATGCCCCGCAGCGCCATCTGGTCGCCCGTGCACAGACGATGTTGGAATGGCGAGTCCTTGGGACCTTTCAGTGACGTGCTGTGCGGGTACAACCGTAGGTGAAGGGCGTCGATGGCGTCGGAGACGTGGACGGCGAGCTGCGCAACGACGTCGTCGTAGGACTGCGTCAGAAGGCACGTCAGCGTGATTGCGGCCGTGTTGGCACAAGTGATGCCGGTCGAGGGCCCCACAGTGACACGACAAAACACCACGTCGATGCGGTTGAGGAGGTATTCGAAGTACAGCGGCGCAGTCGGGTACTGTCGGTCAGTTGGTCCCTTGGTCAAGTTGGCCGGATCTTCGATAGGGATTGACATGGCGTTTGTCTCGTTCTGGAAGATCAAGATGTCGCCGTGCTGGAGTTCGCATTCCAGCAGGGTCGCGGTGGAGGAGTCGAGCAAGTTGATTGCTTCGGGCTGGAGTTGTTCGTAGATGTCGAGTGGCTGGTCTCGGGCGTCGACAAAGTGCTGGATCAGCTCGGTTAGTTTTGACACGGTCGCGTCGCTACAGAAACCTCGATTCGTGAGCGGTTGGTCCACATCAAATCGAGCACCAGCTCGAGTGCGACCATGAGATTTCGTACTGTGCAACGACAATGTTTCCAACGTAAGTCAACCGGTCGTCCATGTTGGGCACAGACGGGTCATATCGCTTGAGGAAGAGCAGAATCGAGTTCTGGGGCACGGGCTGGGGCACGCGTTTGGTCGCGGCTTGAATGGCGAGCGGGTGGAGTTGGGGAGGGGCCAGGTCGTCATCGATCTCGTCGAGGGGGTCCGCTGGCTTTGAGTCCGGAATCAAAGGTGTGAACGATTGCATGTGGAATCGCTTGATGCGGCCCAGTGATCTACCGACAGTTCAGAGTGCGGACTGCGTTCCTGTGGGAAGTTAGTCGAGTCGTCGTACTGGGGGGCGTCTAGAATCTCGAGAAACAAGAGCACTTGCTTTGTGTGCACGTCCTCCTCCAGCACCATGGCGCACGTCGACTCCATGGGAAAATTATCGAGGGGTTCGTCCGGCCGTGTGGTTTGGTTTTCGCGCGTCGCCATTTTCCACAGCCGCATCGCGTTGATGGGGACGCCGGTTTCCATGTGAATTTGGCCGTAAAGTTGTTGGAGCTATACAAGGAATCATGAGGGCCACGGCAGCGCAGCTTTCTTCGCGATAAACCACCCACAATATATTGAAACATGGACTCACGCACCGTATTGGCTTTGAGCACTTTGCATGATACCAAATGCTGCGAACATTTATTGGGTTTTGACAACACCACAAAATCCAAAGATCGAGTGTAGCGCCGGAACCGACTGACGGCATCATCCGTGGCAATGCGGACTTGAAGGAACAAGTGCTCTCTGACAAAACGCAATACGTCAGCACACTGGGGCTCGACTACCACAGCAGTGCATCACATTGTTCGTGCTGAACCCACTCGAAAGGGAAGACCATCGCCACGACATATACCACTCGAAAGAATGCACAAATATGGGTACCTTTGAGCCAACCGCTTGCGCCTTCGGGCTGCGACTTCTTCTGCTTGAAACCGCGTCGCCAGCGCGGTCGGAATCGAATGCTCGACTGTTCCTACACCCGTTTGCACGTATACCTATGCAACGATTGAGCGTCGACGCCACCGATTCAACCACGATTCGTCCCATCTCCAACGACCTCTCCAACCTCCACAGCATCACGACGCAATGCACCCGTACCAGCATGTACGCGCTGCTAAACGACGACATGCCCGCATACGGACTGCCGAAACTCGTTTCCATCACGACGCTTTCGTCGATCGCCGAAATGAGCTCGTCATCGTACTTGAACCAGGTCGTGTTGGTCGGATCTTGGCCGTGGGGCCGAATGTACACGTAGTAGTGGCCGCCGTGGACGTCCCCCGAATGCACCAGGATGCTAATGGCAAAACCAACGTCAGCACCGTCTGAAACAAAGCCCATCCACAGCGTCCAGGAGCAAAATAGCGTCGCAAGGCAGCGCCGCAGTGGAACACACCTGTGCAAGTGGTATTTGGTCGAGTCGGGCGAGGCGCTCTTGGCCATGTACGCCGCAAGGTTTAATTCCTTTGGAAATTCAAACCGGTCGTGGATTTTGACCATCCCATCCCGCATCGGGTCATACTCAAACCTGAGCACCCGCGCAGTTAGATTCTCCATCAAACGCATGCATGTCACGCCCATAGGGCATGCACCACCTCTCGGTGTGGTGCATGCCGTGCACACCAGCCACACTGTTCCTTACCGCTTGAGTTGAATGTTCAAAATTGGCGGGAACGATTGAAAGCTCAGGCCTTTCTTCGCATCTTGCTTGCCAAACCCGTTGGCGGCGTCGTACTGGTTGTCGCCGTCGAGCATTTCGACTTCGACAAACTTTTCAAACGATGCGTCCAAGTTGGCACATCCCTTGACATCGAGCTGGAGATCGTAGAACGACTCCTCTCGACTCGACGTGCAGTCGACGTTTACGCACGACACAAATGACGTGACTTTTCCTTCAAACAGCGCCGGAATGAGTCCGTCGACGGGTGTGTTTTTCATCTTGTCTTCGAGACGGTCGCACAAAATGCGGTACAGTTCCTACGCAAGACATCCTTTCGTTACCACACCAACGCCACGATGATTGAACGAGCCATCACGGCAGCACCCAACTGGCCTTGCACAAATGCTCTGAGCCGTTGGATCGATGGCAACTGATGGCGGGTGCTACATGAACTGGAACAAATTATACCTGGACATCATGCTGAGTGAAAGCATCCATGTGGGACCACCCAAACGCCTTGGTCAATTCCTTGGTGCTCACTGCTTTCACGGCTATAGCACACACACACACCAGGATTAACACTGTCGTCGTCGTGACTGCTAACGATTCCAGGACTCCTTGGACGATCTACCGACTCGGAAAACGTCGCTGACCACCCATCGTTTCCATGGACAATTTGAAGAGGATTGAGCACAATGCCAGCCATGTGCGCACACGACAAAGCGCCAATGCGAACGTACATGTTTCAAGCCGATAAAAGACGCGCTGAAGCGCCAACGCAACCGAGTTGGTGCTGTCGTCGTCGGCGGTGGGAGTGTCGTACACAGCTTTGCGGAATGGACGGAGATAGAACAGTGTCTCGAGTAAAGAGTTCATGTAGCATGTGGCGCCTGCACAATCGAGAGCATGACGGGTGAACAACGCAAGAGTGTAGCTACAAACCTTGATTCTTCAACCCGACCATCCCTGTGGCGACTTTGGAGTCGTAGTTGACGTTCATGGTTAAATCGCCCAGTCCTGCATCAGACTTGGACCCATCGCCCAGTGGCGGGTCGAGAAGAGACAGGTCCGAGTCAAGAACGGTGGCATCGTCGAAACCTGTTGGGCTGCCCCCTGTTCCTGTCTTGACGCGTTTCGTGGTCGTGGGTGCTACTGGGACCTCATTCGCGTCGAGGGCAGCCCAGCATACAGACAGTTTCAGCGCAAACTTGCCTGCAAGGAAAGTAGCGTCACTGCCGTGGCAAGGACATAAACGGCGTGCGTGACAGTACCTGTCATCGGGGACACGTACGGATTCGGTTGCTCCATCAAGGACGACATGTGGTATATCGAGACATTTGTTGGCTCGGTCACATCACCGTCCAACAAGACACTCTGCTGGACCTGTTCCGACATCGCGGACGCAACAAGTGGGTTGTGTGGTAGCAGTGTGATCGTGAGCACCGTCGGTGCTCCGAGACTTGTGCTGCGCGAGACTTTGACCACGACATCTCCCGAGTCGCAGTCTGGGTAGCAATCGAATGTCCACGTGCCGTCCGAGCCATCTTCTTCTTCGTGATCAAAGTCGGAACCAACAAACCCCGCCATAGTCGTGACGAACCATGGCGATGTGGATGGATCGTCCACTGCTTCCGGCGTCGGGCGCTTCATTCGGGACCAGTTCAAAGCTACCGCGCTCGTTTGGCGGCAAATCCAAGGATAGGAGAGGCCGTCGATCTGATTGGTGGAAAAGACCCGAAAATTTCGTTTTCTCGATCCCGATATCTTTATTTTTTGAAATGGCGACCGACGGTGGCTACGACCATGTCGAGTCACTGCAGAGCTCCTAGCTTGACGTGCCTGGAACGTACGTGGAGGCAATGGCGCAGTCGCGATTTCGGTCCTCGACAGTGGATGCCACCGCGTACGCGACGGCTATCTGAGGAACTATCGCCACGCCAATGACCCCTACTTCGCCGTTGTAGCAGTGAAGGTGATTCCGCCATGTTTTGCGTGTAAGTTAGTGTCCATCCTTGTGTCCGGCATCGTCAACGACGTACGTGTCGCCGATCGACGGCATGCACTAAAGCAACGACACGACGTTGAAGGGATTTTTGCGCAACGCCAAAATCGAGGATAAATATATTGAGCGAGATCGATCTCCGCCATATTGCCGACGTTGGATCACTCGGACAGCAACGGGCAAAGCAAGTCAGCATACGCAGCATCGAGGACGGATTCAACGTGGACTTTTCCTATTGAATCGGCGAGGAGAGCGGCAAGAATATGTTTGCACTACGACGAGGCATCTGGGATGTGTACAGCAGCGAACGAGGACGTACCATGATGGACTTGCTGTGCACTGCCGTGTGAAGGAATGCTGCACAAGAGCAATAATGGGGAAAGCAGATATAGAACGACGGTTTTCCGCTCGATCCTTGGTGCGACTGCGACGACACGCGGACGAACGACCGGCCACTTGGAATTGCGGTCATACAGACCACTCCGTTCTTTTCCACGAGTTCGGATGCCGCCTGCAGGAGGGCCATTTCTGCTTCGTCTGAATATATCGTCGCTAGTAGTTCCCCATGTTCCGGTGTGAATTGACCACCGTTGGCTTTGACGAGCGCGAGGGTTTGCCTCAAGATCGCCGCGCTCAATTCGTTGCTCATGCTGGAGAATCCGGATAATTCCTGCCGCCCACACACGTATCCGAATGATTTCGGCATTTTCAAATTTTGAGCGGTGGAGGTAGATAGATGCACGGTCAGCACGACAAGTGATGAGGTTGTGGTAGGCTGTCGTCGATCCAGCCCTCCTTGCGCACACATGCAGGCCGCTGCAAGTGTCGCTGTGTGTGTAGGACAAGAGGTTGAACTGTGTGCATATGTGTGGCGATGGGCAACGAGGAAACTACGCTTGAATCTGATGCTTTAAATGATGGGGGTGACACCTCGCTCACATCCATGAAGAACGCTGGTCATGCTAATCTGAGCCCTGGACTGCACCCTTTGCATTTATCCCAAATCCCTCAGCAGTACGGAATTGCCTGGGACACGACGACTCTAATTGCCCCCAATAGCATGATAGGAATTGACAGATAATATTCCGTGGCCATGCCACATGAATGCGAGCAACAAGCTCTATCGCGGCAGTTTAACTGAGGATTGCTGCAACCGCACAAGGACGTCTTGAACTGACATTGCATAAGTTGGATTAATAACACTGCCACATAACAACACCTACGAATTCCCTCGCAATAGAGAGTGTGGATGCAGGGAGTCGTTGGCGACGGACTTCTTGCCACTATCGTATATGATGGACAGAATCACGACAATTGTGCATAATAAAATTGCCGCCACAAGCACGTGGATGCACTTGTCTCCGTCAAACGACGTCGTGACGCCCGCCGCCCAAGTCGCAATCGCCGACTTTGGGGTTTCCTTCTTCAGGACCATACGAATCGGTCGCTTGGGCATGTCTGGTGATCGGAACCATGGAAGCGGGTACACTTCTTCCACCTTGGGCTTTGCTTGGTTTCGAACGGAACGTGTAGATTTGACAGGCAGAGCGACATCTATGGCGGGGTCGCCGTAGGCGGGACTGCTGTTGGGTGTGGAGGTCACAGGGCTGCACTTGAGCAGCGGTGAGAGTTCCTGGCTTGCTTTTGTAGCTCCCATGGTCTGTTGTGGATATGGATGCGGACGGCAACGCGGCAGATCGGCGCTCCACGCTCGCAATTTCGAATGGTGCGCGACGGCAGCCTGCACCTGCTCAAGGACGTAACGCACCTTGGCGGCCTACGGGGCGCAGAGAAAGGAGAATCTCGTGTTTTTATATTCTCGCGCGATTCTTCAAACATTTTATATATTCATATAAATACCTATATAATATAAAAATATTCACCTCTCACCCAATAAATTGACAAGGTTCAGCTCTTTCGAATGCCGTCGATCCCTCGATATCGAACATGAAACTAAATCTCAGCATCAAACGAAGATTCGAGCTTATGCCCCGCGTCTCTGTGCTACGATGTCTCCATGCAGCGACATCACACCGGCAGCAATGGAAAGCTACGCTCATGGGCGATCGAGGGTCCCTTGGATACTACACGAGAGAACACTTCTCCTTGCACAATGTCATACTCTTTTCTATAGACAAGTGCATATCCCTTTTTCACATCCGACATCACAGGGGCCCCGCCATTGTCAAGAAGCGGTGTACCGGGACGGGTGACGCGTTATAGCCTAATTGAGTATCTTCTACTACAAATTTAATATGGATGAGTGTAGATAACGCCCGCCGGAGTCGGGCAGTCAGTAGAAAATGCCGTCAACTCCGTCGGCAGCTGCCTCGTCAAATGGTCAGCCCTCTTTTGATGATTGCTGATTGGCCATAACTCCTCGTACCCTGTATGTGATTGGCTAAAAAGTCGATCCACACAGAAGTTGCGATTCACACAGTCAACAAACCACCCTGACACTCCTTCCCAACGTTCTTTACCCTGCACCGCCCAAGGTGGATAAAACTACAACCAGCTCGTCGACCTGCTGGCATGAGCATCGTGGCGAAATGACGTTGATTTCGACAGCAAGGTGGAACCGTCCATCGAACTGGATTTAGACATACAGCACGGCAGAACCCACACATGAGAGACCCGGTGCGAACGACAGACCTGCGACGAGGAAGGATTTACTAACGCTTGGTACATTGTACTTTTATGCAGCTGTGGGCGATCGTTGACGCGTTCGCGCAGTCTGGTGGTGGTAACAATATTTCAATGGATAGTGACCGGCGAGCGCGCAACCGTATCCCACACTGAATGGAATCCCGAAAATCACACGGTAAAATTACGAGAAATTGGCTGGAACCATACTTGTTGACAAATGTATTGTTTTGTATAAATGATATAGAGCCAATCAGAATATTTCCTTCGGTTTGCCGTATTTATCACTGTCAGCTCTCCAATCAAATCCAATGAAATAGCACTCTAAACGGGGATTGGCTAAGATCGTCCAGCACGAAGTTCGCATCGAGGGATGCTGTCGCAGGGGACGGCCGCATGCCTTGTGGCAGCAATCGCGGCCATCTTGATTCCACACCTTTTGCTCTACAAGGAAAACGACCACTCCTTAGTGTACCACACTGCTCTACCAGCGTTGTCTCCGGCGCTCGAGTCGGGAGTTGTCCTCGTTGACTCTACCTTGGTTCCAAAATATCGCTCAGACATCGTTGCGATCGAGGTTGTATCCACTCCAGGGACTGGAATTACCACTTCACCTTAGGCGCAACATTTCATAGCTCCACCATTTTTGCCTTGCTTGAATCCCCCTCGACTCCTTGGGACCATCACACCGGTCACTGTAGCCATGTCTTCAACGGTGCTTCCTACAAGTGTGTTCATGATGCTCAATGGTGCAAACGACGGGCTCTTCTTCACATGGAATGAAGAATCGCCCTGTCTTCACGCGCTTGGTCACGCGGCAGCCTTGTCTCTCGGCGCCGATGCCGACTGGACTGCGCTCGGCGTAAGATTGTACAATCAACAGGGCCGCATCGTCCAAGACGTAGCGGATGTGGTGGCAAGTCGTGGGATCTTGCATGTCCTGCTCGAGTTTCAAGTGTGGACGTGGCCTGGTATTGCCGTGGGCCACGTCACGATTGTAAACGACGATGGCCAGGGGCCCGAGATCGCGCTCACTACGCTTAGCTTATCCCCCAAGGTACTGAGTGTGAATGGGTTTTTCACCGAAGTCGAGGCCGACGCGATCTTGAGCCAAGGACAGCCCCATCTTCATCGGTCGCTCATTGACGATAACGGCGTGCGAGGTCGGTGAATGCATACACGTAATGGCACCACTCGATCCAATGTAGGCATATCAGCGACTCGTACCAGCAACACGGCATTCCTTCGACCCAGTTTACTCACACTGGAGCTCCAAGTTCGCACCGCCAAGTTGGCGCGCTTGCCCAGTCCAAGTTTCGTAGAGCGCACACAACTGGTGCGGTATGGCCCGGGCGAGTTCTACAAACGGCACTTGGATACGTTCGACAACAAAGAGATTTTACCGAGAGCATTTTCCGCGTACAATTACTCGGATTTCGAGGTAAATGCTTGATAGATCTTGTCTTGAGTTGAGAAGCGAATGGATTTCATATAGGCTTGGACAGAGTGGGCAGCAGCGGTGATCGATGCAGCTCAAGCCAGCGCAGCCGAGCATGGCACTCCGACTGTAGTGCCCGCGATTTGTCACAAAGGCCAGCCGTGGTATCCCAACGCCTCATCTAGTGAGTTTATTCACAGCGTTTTGCATGCGTTCTGGACGTTTGCGAACACGACCAACTTTTTTGAAAGTCGGTAAGGGATGCCGAGTCGTCGGCGCGCTGCTCTTGACGTTCGCTTGCTGTTGACGCCATTCAATTCACTCGGTCCATCTTCCTCGGTGTGCACTTACCAACGGCCGTAGGTTTGATCAGGCGTGGGACGACTGGCTTGCCTACAACTTGGGCGTGAACGCGTCTGGGCTCATGCACGTGCTCCTGGAGTCGAAAGGCCACTACTTGCCACTTATCGTGCGGGTGTGGGAAGATCGAGCGGGGAACGCCCCTGCGCTTCGATACACCTTTCCCAAGCGTCGTCCACCTCATGGAATTAGTCAATGGTTGTCCCAACACCGAACGATCGATTTGGCACTTTCATTTGTGTGCTACTAGGTACCGCTGGGTGCGAAAGACCAAGGAAGCGATCAGTGCGCTCGGCCAAGCCGCGCCAAACCATCTCCAGCCTCACAGTGCCCTCTATCCAAAGTTCGATACAGCATTTGAGACGACAGTGTTGGAGCTATGGCGACGAGGAACGGGAGGTCCATATCTGCCAGCAACGTCGCTGCCCAGAGAACGGCTGCATTGGATGGACCAGCACCGTGGCCATCGCAATGTCTTGCTCAAGGTAGTGTCACCATCCTGGAAGGCTCGACCCCATGGACACTGCACGTCACGTTGATGCATGCACAGCTCGTTCAAGATTTGGGAATACATCTAGTGCAGCAGCTCATTTACACGTGGGAGGAAAAGGTCCAGTTTGGGCCAGTCGCGGGGTACCTCATGCCCCCGTTTGTGCCATTCGTGCCACCCCAGCGATATGCGACGCTCTTCTTGTACCTGAACACGGTGGACAAAGGCGGTGAAACAGTGTTCCCTCACGCGCGCACTGACGCTCACGTGAGCCGGTCGTATAACAGTACGACCATGCCCGAGTGCGCCGAAGGCATGGCCGTGCTGCCCACTGCACTGCATGCAGTACTGTTTTACGTCCAGACGCCAACGATGGAGGTGGACCCGATGGCAAGGCATGGCGGGTGTCCCCCGCTCGATGGCAACATCAAGTGGGGTGCCAACCAATTCATGTGGAATGCAGATGCAGAAGAAGGCGCAGTCATGTGGCTCGATTCGACTTAATGCGGCGCATTCTGCAAGCACGCGACAACAATGAATGCCCAAACGAAAGACTGAATCGATGTCGTAGCTGCGATTGTCAGTGTCCGACAAAGCGAAGCACTTTGAATAGCAAACGTTTCCAGCACAGCGCTCCATCGTTCGTGTTTGCTCGTCCACGATGGGAAGGTGCTACGGTCGATGGCATGTAATTCAGCTATGAGAGAGTTCGATGATGCAGTTCATATCGTTCGCACACACAAACCAAATGACTCACGGGCATGGCGCCGTTGTTGTATGAGAGCCCATTCGAAATTACATGCGGACGCTCTGCAGCAGGAAGCGAACACTCGATCGCGTACCGACTACTGCGACGAGGTCGCCATTCAAATGGTATTGGCAATGAGGGGCTTTTGCACGAGTACAAGGTAGTCGCGGTCGAAGTAAACGTTGGCTCGGGTGGCAACTTTTTTTGCTTGAGAGGTCTTGACGACGACAAAGCCACACTGGGCCACGAGAAAGTCGACCATTTGCGGGCACACAACTGCAGACTGCCACGTCATGAAAAGGCAAAGTGTCGGGCGTACGTACAATAGAACCCGCCAATGGTAAACTTGGACTGAGCCTGGAACCGCTTCCATCCCTCTGGTGACCCATCTCATGACGCGATATCCTTACGACGCATGACGTACCTGATGCAACCAAGTTTGCCGTCGACATGAAGCAGTACCCCCCGGGCTTGAGCAGTCGAAATGTTTGCTGCAGGGTCTGGTAGATCGTGTGTAGGTCCATGTGCACCATCACGTCAAAAATAACGACAAAGTCCAGCGTCGACGGCGATGGCCATGCAGACGGCAAGTGACGAAAGTCTACTACCTTCTCGGTAAGCAGACCAGCGTGTGCCAGTGTCTTCTGCGCACGTTGTAGCATCTCAGTCGATATGTCCAAGCACGTGAACTTCTGCACCGACTTGTGCGCCGCGATTCGGCGACTTACCCGCCCACCACCTGAACCGATTTCACCCACATGCAAGAGCGCGGGCGATAGCGCCATGAACGGATATACAAACTCCAGCAGGACTTCATCCAAGTCTTCTGGTGAGCTCCATTCGTCGCCCAACACCTCGAGTGGATGCGTCAACTGCGGCGACATCGACACGACGTAGTCTGCAGATGGAGACCAGTCCTTCGCGTATGCATCCCACACGCGGCGATTGCCTTCGATGTTGCCGACGTCTGGCGCAACCATTGCAGAGCTCAACGATGAGATCACATCAAGCACCAGCGCATTTCGCGTCCGTGACATGTTTGTTCCGATAGATCGACAAAACAAAGGATGGATTTGTTCATATTCTAGTAATACTATTGTAAAACTAGTACGTACAGTGCGCGCCACATGGATAGGACACCCCTGTTTTTTTGGTCAAGCTGTCGATAAATTGCCCTTTGGATGAAACAAAATATACCGAAGCAATCGTTTTGATTGGTCCGATCGTTTGGCGCTAGTTTCAGGTCAAAATAGTGAAGTATGACTGAGTTCTGCCGCGAAAACCGATTTGGAGGTGTGACAGCAGGATAGGACACTTGAATCAAGATCGTCATTTTGCTGTTTGCGGTCTACGCCTTGGCCACACTTAAGCCTACCACTGACATACCTATCACTGCCTTCGCTTTGACAGCCATGGGACGTGGATCTTCACTAACCGAGTACGAGCAAGGTGCTGTCCTTGCCTTCCACCGAGCTCAGTGGTCTGTCAAGCGAACTGCAGCGGCGCTAGGCCGCTCACGCAACGCGATAGCGAACTTTTTGCGCTCCCCAAGCACCTACGGCAAGAACTACACTGGCCGTGAGTCGTCAAAGGTCACGGAACGCGACCGTCGGCACATCATCAAGCATGCGTCAGCCACAGGAGCCTCGGCTCGACGCGTCAAGACGGACATTCCGTTGGATTTTTCGCTGCGGACGTACCAAAGGATCCTTGCCGAGTCCGAGCACCTC